TTCCTGAAATGTGCCCCTGCTTTTAAAAACCCTTCTTGGGAGCTTTCTGCTTTCCTGAAATGTGCCCCTGCTTTTAAAAACCCTTCTTGGGAGCTATCGGGGAGTCCAGGTCTTAAGCAATCGCTGCCGGTTCTCCTCTCTTGACGCCACGCCATAAATGTCTCTTTCTCTCACGTCGCCAGTGTCTGGCTTTACTGCACTGGGTGGGCGGACCCCGTTCAGTTCAGTAACGCTGATGAACCACAGGCAGAGTGAACCAGCTCGTTGACCTAGTGTTTAAGTCAGGGTCTTCAAAGGACGAGAAAAGTCTCTGCGCCTGTCTGTTCACGGGGTTTAGATGCTCTGTGTGTATAAAAAGTATGTGTCAACTTTACCTACAATTGTCAAAAAAAAAAAAAAGCTTCAGGTTTAGAGTTTGCCTTCTGATTTCTGGAGTTTAAGTCTTTGGGCTGGACTTATCACTCTTATGTGGGACAGAGGAATAAAAACTACGTCCCCAGAATGTACATATGAAGTTTTTTCTTTTTTAAAATTGGAGGGCACGGCTATTCTGCTGATGAAGTTTCTAAGAGACGAACATGGACTTGTCATCAGAAGTGTGGAGCTTTTGGATGGTAGGCACTGTTTTATCAGCTGCAAGATGGAGAGGATAGCACCTTCCGTGTGTTGTGAAGAGTAAACACGGTAACACTCGTAAGGGTCTGAGCACTTCTCCGTAAGTGTTAGCCCACAAGCACATTAATCGATTCTAAGCAGGTCACATCTTTGGGAGAATGCTTACCCTGCTAGATCAAGAACATGAATTGCTGGAATTATATTCGTTCCATCTCCAAAAACTGGTAAGGCAGGAATCTCGCCCAACCAAGCCATCTAAAAGAAAGGAAAACAAAAGCATCCCCCGCCCCCAGTTATATGTATATGGCTATTATATTAATAGCTCACACACAAGTCCACAGTCAGAGGTATCCAAAAGATGTATCTACCTGCTCAAGTAATTTCCTCTAGGAGATGTTTTGTGAATCAGTTCTGATGAGATTTAGGATCAAATTCTACCAAGAGAAATAAAGTGTAACCTTGGGACTGAAATGCTTTTTGAGAAATCTATAATCTCCTCAGTTATATTTAGTAGTCATCTATGCGTTAGCTACGTGGAGAAAAAATGTTTTCATACGCATGATGTCTTTAATTCTCACAAAAAGAGAATCAAGTTAACCGGTAGGGGTGAGGGCGAGGGAATAATGACCATCAGCTCATAGATGAAGTGTTTAGTGGATAGACACACAGGTAGGCCCTGAACTTGCACTGGGACCTCTATCTTCAGAGTCCAGATCCTTGTCTTTTCCTCTCATTAAGTACTTTCGTAACCAAATAGAGACACTGAGTACTGTTTAAGTGTCACATATTAGATTATTTTAAATTGCTCTTAAGAGTGAAAGAAGTGGCTGGGCGTGGTGGCTCGTGCCTGTAATCCTAGCTCTCTGGGAGGCCGAGGCGGGTGGATTGTTTGAGCTCAGGAGTTCGAAACCAGCCTGAGCAAGAGCGAGACCCCGTCTCTACTA